CTCCAGCAGGGCCTCCGGCTCTGACCTGCTGGCCTCCCGGACGGCGGCCGTGACTGCGAACGGCCAAAGAGGCCTCGAAGACTTTCGCTGTGGTGCCTGCTTTCTTTGAGGCACCGCCTAATTTTGTTTGGGTTTGGAGACTGCGCTTGGTTTTTCCTTATTTACTCTGTCAGTCTGAGCTGGCGTGACACCCTCTGCCTGGCTTCTCGTCACTCACTGACCCTGATGCTTGACGTAATGCGCCATGGCCTGTGTGGCCTGTTAAGCAGGGGCACGGTGACCCCTGGCTGTGTCATAGGAGGATCCGGGTCACCTGGGACCCCTCCTACTTTCCTCTGCCACCCTGCCTCTCTCCACTTCCTTCTCCTTTCGGGGAGCAGAGCTGGCCGTGCTGGTCTGGGAGTGTTCCTGGCTCTGAGCAGAGGAAGGTGTGGTGAACAGAAGGTTCTGAGTATGGTGGGGTCTGCGGGCCAGAACCAAACGGAAGGGGCGGCGCCCCTGTGAGCACGGAGGCCAAGGGAGGGTCCTGCACTGGTGTGACTTTAGACACCCTTACGTGGAACCCCATGTGATCTTTTGGGCTTCAGTAAAAGAGGACTCAGCTGTCACCTGTGAGCGTCCAGCTTTCTCTGGGCAAATCGGAGAGTGACCACCAGGGCGGATGCCAAAGCCAGGTCTTCCGGGATTTGGGCCTGGGGAGGGTGATGGGCTGCGCCCTCTCTCATTTGCCCTAGCTGGCTGAAGGTTCCCCACTTGGAAGGAGTAACTGGCTTTCAGTAGAGGCCCGGTGAGCCCCTGGGGATGTCCTCCAGTGTGGCATGTATGGTCAACCCCACCTCAGGAGCAGGCCTTCCATATCCACCCTGGATCGTCGCTGCAAAATCCTCCCTCCCAACGGCCTCTGCCATTTTCCTGGGGCAGGTCCTTCCCTGGGAGCAGCAGAGCCCTGTCACCATTTGTGAAGTTCCCCACCGTCGAGCTGGGACGTGGGAAAGCGGATTCTATTTCAGGCAGTGCATCCCAGTGTTGCGTGGGGTGGAGGCGTTCATCAACCTGGATGCTTCTCTTTGGCCACGTGCATGGACTCCGGCAGAGCCCTGTGATGAGGAGAGAAGTATGTGGGATGTGCTGCTGCCATGTGGGTGCTTTGGATGAGAGCTGTTTCCAGAACATTACCAGGCAGGGTGTAACCACGGGCGCCCCCTGGGAGCAGCCGGCTCAGCCCTGCAGACCTGAGGGCTGGCTGACTCTCATACTCCTTGGTAAGAAATATAAAGTTTTCTAGCTTCTGGTCTTCCCGTAACTTTTGCTTGTGCAAGCCTTCGGTTCTGTTGTCATCAGCTTGGGGACACTTGCGTGGCCAGGAGGCAGCTCTGTTCCCGGTGGCAGAGCTGGGATGGAGATGGTGAGAAGCCTACATAGGGAGAGCAGAGCAGAGCATCCCAGGGTCTCCCGTGTTTGTGCAGCTTGCTGGGGACAGCTTGACAGAAACGGACTCCAAAGTGGCTTTCTCAGGGCTGACATTGGAGCCACATCTCCTGGCTGTGAGGGGATGTGCAGAGAGCCCTGCCTCTCACCCCTGCCCCTGCCCCCACCCCCACCCGCTGCCTCCCTGACCTCTCGCCTCCTCCCGTGCAGATGATCCCTCCCGACCAGGAGCTGCTGGTGTGGTACGGGAACTCACACAACACCTTCCTGGGGATCCCCGGTGTGCCCGGGCTAGAGGAGGAGCAGAAAAAGAACAAGCATGGTAGGTATTCTCCATGAGGCCACGATGACAAAGGACCCGTGGGACCCAGAGAGTGGTGGGGTGAGGGGCAGAGAGGCTTCTGGCCTCCAGGGACCCTGGCTCAACCTCCAGCGCCTTCGAGCTCATGGAACCTACTGGTTCGAGGAGGCCGATGCCTCTGGAGCCACTGCCATGGTCCAGGAATGGGCGGAAGGCGGTCCTCCTGTTTTCTGGCCAGAACAGACTAGGGGCTGGTGCGTGAGAGAGGCAGGAGCAAGGGGCCAGCATCCAGGTCCAGGTCCAGTTCTGCTGTGCAGTCTTGGGAATGGCTCCATGACTCAGTTTCCCCATCTTGTAAGGAAAGAGGTTGGGCAAGTTGGTCTCTTAGCTCCCTTCTCGATCTGATGCTCTGCCTCTCCCTGCCCTGTCCCTGCGGCTGGCCTGGCACAGAGCAGGCGCTCAGTGTAAACCTGATGGACGCAGGCCCGCAGAGTGTCCCTGCAAGTGTGATGTGGGACGCTGATCATGACAGAGACCATTTGCTCAAGACCTATTTTTGTGCCAAGTATTGGGCTAAACCTTTTAGGGTATTATCCTACTTGGGTCCTCAGAAAACCCTTGTGAAATTTGATTACCCTTATTTTTAGACGATGATCCTGAGGTTGGTGGATTACTCTTACTGAGCCCTTGCTCTGCAGCTAATGTTTATAAACTATAATTTCGCTGATCCTTACAGCAGGCTTATGGGGGTGATGCTATTATTAACCCCCTTTCAGGGGTGAGGAAAGTGGGATGCAGTTTCCTGATAGTAAGCACTCAGTAAATATTTGTGGGATGAATAAATGAAAAGGTTTCTTAAAATTAATTGAGGTGACATTGGTTAATATAATTATATAGGTTTCAAGTGTACAGTTCTAAATACGTCATCTGTATATTGCATTGTGTGTTGGAAAAAGTTACTTCCACTTATGAAAAGCTACCGTAAGGCAGGCACTCCCCATACATGGGCTAAGGCAGGTAAAGAGTTCCGCGCAGAGTCACCTCCAATAGATGCCAGCTTCGTGTGACCAAATCCCGTAGTCCTGCAGACAGAGCCCCAGCAGGTTGTAGCAGGCTCTCATGTCACAGGTGAGAAAGCTGAACTTTGTGGAGGCTGTCTCTGAAGTCTCACAGCATAGTCTGGAGTCCAGCTCCTATCTGACCCCAAGCCAGGGCCCTTGCTACCCCTCACGATCCCTGCCAGCGCCCCTCATCAGTTGCTCAGAAACCAATCGTCGATCAGGGGCGGGGGGATTCTGGGAGGAGCTCGCGCGTCGGGGATGGCTGGGGTGCCGGCCCGGCAGCGGGATTCTAACGCGGCTGCTCTCTCCCACCCCCGGCTCCCCGCCTGCCCCTCGGCCCCGGCTCCCCCTCCCCGGCCCCGCCCTCCTGGCCAGAGGACTTCCACCCGGCGGACTCCGCGGCGGGCACCGCGGGCCGCATGCGCTGCGTCATCTGCCACCGCGGCTTCAACTCGCGCAGCAACCTGCGCTCGCACATGCGCATCCACACGCTGGACAAGCCCTTCGTGTG